TAATAAGGCGGTTCAGGTTGGTGTAGGTGGGGCGCTCGATATCCAGGTTCCTGCGGCAGATGTCATAGATAGCTTCGTTGTCTACCATGAAGGCACAGTCCGAGTGCTCCAGGGTGGTGTGGGTGGTCAGGATGGAGTTGTAGGGCTCCACCACTGCGGTGGAGACCTGAGGAGCAGGGTAAATGGAGAACTCCAGCTTGGACTTCTTGCCATAGTCAACGGACAGACGCTCCATCAGCAGGGAGGTGAACCCAGAACCAGTGCCGCCTCCAAAGCTGTGGAAGACCAGGAAGCCCTGGAGACCTGTGCACTGGTCGGCCTAGAAGACAGTGGAAAGAAAAGCAAGAGGAATTTAGTACAAGTTGTGCTGCAAATACAGGCTATGTAGTATGAGAGAACAGAACAGTCTTCCATCCCACACTGCTGACAATTTTCTTTGAAGATGAGATGCCTGAATGTAGGGTTTGAGGCTGGAGACAAGAGTGTCTACTTCCCTCACCCCCAGCAGAGTTTAAATCTGGGCAGCAGGACAGGCTCTAGTTAGTCCCCAGTCAAATGCACGACACATCTGCCCTTATGCCAGGGGGCAGAAAGCTCCCGACAGACGGGCTTTGGTGAGAGTTCCACCTAATACCGATCCATCACGCTTACTGAACTGTCCATCATTCATCCCTAGATGGAGCCATCTCAAAAGAGACTGCGAGGGACCACTGTGCCTCTGTTCAGACCCCCCAGCCCAGATTTACAGTATCAGAGGCCGTATTGCCCCTCTTTGGCGGCATCTGCCAGGTGGAAACTCCAACCCCTTAGAAAGCTCATCCTAAGACATGGATGAAGACATGGCTACTCCTCCTGATCCCATGAGATGCCTCCTTTTACATACTGTGGAAGATTTGCCTGACCAATGGTCAGTGCCCCGCTGCTGGAGGTGAGCCAGCAAATCCCAGTCTCCAGGAAGGAGGAAGAGGCTGAAGTAGAACTACTGCTCATGTCTAACCCCTCAGCCTCACGTTGTTAAGCCCTTTCTAGGGCAGCAGTCCTAGGAGGGCCACATCAGAGTAGTGTAGTTGTGCCGCACAGCTCCTTCCTCTTTACAAGAGGGCCAAAGTCACTCAAGCAGATCAGAGACCCTAGGAAGGGGGATGAATCTCTCTAAATGCAAGCATCACCCAGAATCACCATGTCTAGACATACAGGTGCAAGGACAGCAGGCAGACCCCTTTTGAGGGGGCCAAATTCCAGCTGTCTAGGTAAAGGACTTGTGTCAATGGGAGAATTGCAGAGACCAAGGGTAGCCCCTTTCTCGTATGCAGTAATTAGGGTTCTAGTTATTTGCTCAGTATTCACGGCACTCTGAACATCAGTGGGGAGGATGTGCTCAGTTTAGGGCTGCTGATTTCCCCATGCTAAATTACCTCTCCTCTGCACTCTCCTCGCCTGCACCAGCTCCCAGCCTAGGTCACTCCCATGCCGCACCCTAGCCTATCACAATGCTCAGGGACGTGAGTGGTTGACGGGTAAAATGTTACTGTTAAGTGACCACCCAGTGAGAGGTTGGTAGAAGCATCTGAGTTGGGGGAGAAGGAGTTCTCATGTCTCAGAGCTGCCATTCCAGCCCGTCTGCAGACACAAGCAGACCCTGCCTTGCATTGATTTGCAGTCCCATATGTGGAAGCCCCACTTTACAGCCATGAGGATTGGAACATTATTCTAATGAAAGCTCATTCTGCAGCGCATGAGTAAGTCACACGAGTCACAAATGTATCGAGTGGCCCTAGCATCAGACATCCCTGTGCTAGAAGGTGCCGAGGTCTCCACCAAATGTAAACATCCAAGTGCCCATTATGTGACATTCCTTCAGAGCCATGCCCAGCTCAGACCAATACCGATCTCCAACGCTCCAAGAAAGAAGAACCAGCCGTTGGATGACAAGAGTGGGTCTCTAGACTCTTCTGGTATGGCAGCTGCTCCCGCAAGTGTAACCCGAGGGAGATTGAAGATTTCTCCCTTCCCCACCACACACCAATAAAGACACTGAACGAAACCCCTCAGATGAGCGGTATTTACCAGCTTGCGGATCCTGTCGAGAACCAGGTCGATGATTTCTTTCCCAATGGTGTAGTGCCCACGGGCATAGTTGTTGGCAGCATCTTCCTTGCCGGTGATGAGCTGCTCGGGGTGGAAGAGCTGGCGGTAGGTCCCGGTGCGCACTTCATCTGGGGAGAGGAAAGGCAGAGAGTTTGTCTCCCCGCCGTCCATGCACAGCAGCGGTCTGCTATAGGCACATGAGTTACAAGGGAGCCCAGAAAGCAGGCAGATGATGGCTTCGCGTACTCACCTATGACCGTTGGCTCCAAGTCCACGAAGACGGCTCTGGGGACGTGCTTGCCAGCGCCCGTCTCACTGAAGAAGGTGTTGAAGGAGTCGTCTCCTCCGCCGATGGTCTTGTCGCTGGGCATCTGGCCATCCGGCTGGATCCCATGTTCCAGGCAGTAGAGCTCCCAGCAGGCATTGCCGATCTGGACACCAGCCTGGCCGACGTGGATAGAGATGCACTCACGCTGGAAGAAAGGGAGGGAAACAGTTAGTGACATGACTTCATTATAATCAGTGGCTACAGTGTCCCTGAACCATTACTCCCAAGTACCTCATTGCTCTGGGTTAGCTCATGCCCTTTGGAACAAGGACCTCCTCTCGCTGTATTAAAAGGGCAACATCCATCTGTGCGACACAAGGGAACAGGGTGATGTGGTCCAATGGACAGGCAGGGCACTGCACGGGGAGTCAGGGGATCAGTCCCCCAACTGCAAGCTCTGTGCCTGGTTTTCCCCAGTCACAAGGCAGGACTAGTATTGTTTATTCACCTTCAACGTCTCTAGATCATGATATCGGGGCCTTTGGTCCAATCTCCAGTAGCAAGTGGTCAGTGCTTCAGGAGATCTTTTGAGTCACAGCATGGCCTCTGAATTGCTGGGTTCATGAAGGAGTAAGTTTTGGATCTGTAGTTAGTGAACTAATCTCTGGTCAGATTTCCTGCACCTTAGAACAGATTTCCTATGACACACATTGGGATTGGATTACATTTTGCATCCAGATTCTGGTCTGCATGTGCCCACTTTCCCTCCCCACACCTGCCCCTCCACTGGCATAGGGAGGGAATTTCTTTATTTAGCTAAATAAAGAATGCTACATCTCATGTCATGATCCCATTTCTCATAGCCTAGGAAGAATCGTCTTAGTCAGAGGAGAAGGAGGAAACAGGCAATGGAGTTTTCCACCCCGTGGTCTAGTAAAGAAAAAAATTAAAAATGAATGAACTATTCAGCATAAAGCAGCAACTGCAACCGGCCTCTGAGTGGTTTACCAGCAATCACACCACTTGCAAGCCATCAGCTGACCGTCTCCCCACTCTCAAAAAACAGAACTGAGGCTGTCAGCTTCCACATCTGCAAAGCAGACAGGTCTTAGCAAATTGTTCCTCTCCTGACACACAGATTTACTCTCTGCAGGAACATCTGCCACCAGTGGCCCACTCCCAGGATTACCCTAGGCCTAGATCTAGATTTAGCCTACATCTCTCCCTCTTACAATCCACTTACATTCCTAAGGCACACCCCACCCACCTGCTCCAACCCATTTCTATCTGCCTCTGCAAACAGATGGCACTTGTGGCCCAGGCGAGGGGAGGTTAGCAAGTCTAAGACAAGGGAATTACAGCATCCAATAAACCCCCCAAATGCAGCGCTTACGTTTCCTCTGGAAACTACCCACATAATGAACCCAGTGGCCATTTCTCTTCAGCGAGCGTTTCAAATCGCTGCAGAAGGAGGGATTTATTTTAGCAGGAGATGCAAGGAAGAGCCATCCTGTTCCCCTGCAACGCCACACTTGATCCAGGGAACACTCGGCCCTTTTGAGCTGCCCTGGTTTGTCTTGACAAGAGCCGTAGGGGGTTCCCCCCCCCACAAGGAGCTGTGCGGGGCTTGCTGCGGGGCGTGCGGAGGGAGATGTTGCAGGAGCTGCAGTGGGTCTGGGTGGGAAGTAGGGCACAGCAGTTGGGGGGGGTATTTGCAATGAGGAGTGTGCAGAGGGGGCACGAGGGGCTGTGGTGCATTCCTAGGCTGGGCAGTTTGCAGGGATGGCGGGGGGGCACTGGGGGGGTATTTGCAATGAGGAGTGTGCAGAGGGGGCACGAGGGGCTGTGGTGCATTCCTAGGCTGGGCAGTTTGCAGGGATGGGGAGGGGGGGCACGGTGGGGGGGTTATTTGGCAATGAGGAGTGTGCAGGAGGGGCCACGAGGGGCCTGTGGTGCATTCCAGGGCTAGGGCAGTTTGCAGGGATGGGGGG